ACCATAAGAATATGAGCGAAATCGAATTTTCGACCCTTGCCGCGAAATTAAGAATTTGTCTGATTTTTACGGGCAGGCACTCTTAAAGGCCCAGGATCAGTTAAAGAGAACCATTAGGTATACTTTGAACTTGAACTACTTTTCATCCAAGATTCCCTTTAACAATGAACGGTCACTGGCCACAACCAGCCTACTAATCTGGCTCTTTATCCAAATGTGCTCATATAACTGCTATCTATCTCAGCATTTTCTTATGATGCCTCAGTGTCAACAAAACCCTTCCAAACTAGCTTCATCAAAACACTCAGTGATATCCTTACGATCAACCTCGAACGACTGACATCGTCATGAACCGAATTCCGGAAGGGTTTTTTTTTGGTACGAAAAAGAACTTCTAAAGACTTCTAAAGGACTTGAACGACACTACTGGCTATGTATCCATTTGCCTGTATCTGCGGACTGGAAATCTGTCTGACATTGACGTTACAAAAGGGACTTTTGCTAAATATTATATGCTTAGAAACAACCAAGAAATTATCAATTAAGTTTAACTTAGCAATTTCAACACGCAGATATGATCAATATGGACGACGTAGATTTTGCGCATACTTGTGCACGTGTGAGCCTCTGGCACGCTACGTTTATTGATTGAAATTTCTAGGAAATATGTCATGGAAGAGGTTTTATCCCTGTTTCCGTCAGACGCTACCAAAAATTAAGTTGAAATGAAAGTGTGGTCTTTCAAAAATGCTTAACCAAGTTTACTCTGCCATCTTGCGAATCTGTACTGTCTTCATTATAATCGTGAAACGTTTTCCATTATCTATTTTTTTTTTAACCTTTATGTTAAATTTATATAATTTTTTCACATTTATTTCTGAATGTGCAAGAATTTTTCTACATTCAGTTAGAAACATAGAAAACGTTTTGTCACGGTTTGTGGTTTCTAAAAGTCCAAGAATGTGATGACTACACGTTTAGAAGCCTAGAAAACTAACTGTTACGGTTGCTGCTTTCTAAAAAGCCAAGGATGTGATGACTTCACGTTTAGAAGCCTAGAAAAATAACTGTTACGATTGGTGCTTTCCAAAAAGCCAAGAATGTGATGACTCCCCGTTTAGAAGCATAGAAGACTCACGGCTACGCTTGGTGCATTCTAAAAAGCCAAGAATGTGATTACTTCACGTTGGTCGCGTGCAGACAGCACAGGAAAGCAATGCACAATGATGCATGTATACCTCACGTGAAGGGCCGTTGCTCTTGTCTTTAATTTTTTTGATTAGAGATGTTTCCTTGCGGTGGTCGTCGTCTACAAGCCCCTTACAATGTCAGACAATGCATGACCATGGCAATTAAAGGGGATGATTTTCCGAAAGAAACCAACAGAGTTTTGTACTTAAATATGAACGAACTAACTGGGCACCCTTTCGTGCATCTCTTCTTGGCTCAACTCTCATGTAAAAAACCTAAAGTGCAATATAGTGATATACCAATGCTGAGAATTACGACCATCGAAACCACTCGAACTGAGATGAAATCACGTGTCATCAAGTTGTTGTGAGTGCCTGAAGCCCTCGTCGTAGGGCAGAACAGCAGTCATTTCGTCAAGTGCGTCATTAGTGTAAACATCAATGCACGCAAAATAGCATTAAGAAAAGCTATATCAGTAGATTACCCCTTAAATGTTCTATTTCTGAAGTGACCGACAAAAGTATTTCATATAGGCTTTGGGTCGTTTTATGAGACATGCGGCATTACACGTTCTGATAATGGTGCAGTAAAACATCTTGTCAGAATATGGCGGCAGTCCGTAGGGGATGGTCCTCTCTTGCACCTTCGTACCAAATTGATGTGAAGTGTTTACAATTGCGGTGACTCCACAAGGTACCATTCATTCTAGGTCACGCGAAGAAACTGGGTAGGAGAATTTACTCAGTGATATTTTCTTGTGTGTGCTAATTAGGATGCATGATACAACCGTTTTTAACACGAAGAGGCAAGAAGTACCGGCAAACGTTTCTTGTATTTTTTTGTATGCACATCAAGTCCTCTTCTCCTTCTAGTCCATATCGGTTTTGCGTATTTGCCAAATATAAGCTAGTTTAGAAAACCTCAGTTTTCACCGTGTTAAAAAGAACTACAAGCTGAAGGAACGTGTATCTTTGATGTCGTGTACTAGTTAGGTTACGATGAAGAGGCGAGATATACTGGCAATGTTGCCTGTGTGAACATCAAGTGTAAGTTCCACCTCCTACTTTGCCATATCGCTTTTTAAGTGTTTACAAGTTACAAGTTGCAGTCATTTGAGAACGTACCATTTTGACTGTTACAAAGAAAATATAAGTACAAGTAGCGGGAATGTTTGCAAGCAATGTTGTAATTCTCAGAAAAGTTAATTATGACGCCAGATGCTGTTTAAGATCACATGGCAAGAAACTCTAACAAGTTTCGTGTATGGAGGTAAATCAGTTTCTGGTTCCGTATACTTGAATGCAGAATATGTTGTAGTGCTTCATACATTATATGTAAAAAGTTCAAGACCACTGTCTCTCTCTTCATGTGAATGTTCAAGACTGGAAACAGCTTTCGAAATATGTTAGTTTAGATGGACTTGTTTTGATCATTACGTCGCACATAGTTGCCCATGCGTGGGCTGTTTTCAGTTGTTGTACAGTTGCTCTGATGAGGACGAAAACAAAATCGGTAATGAACCTGCTGTTATTACGATGTGTCTAGCAAAAGAGCATATCTTTAATTTCTTGAGGTAAATCAGTTTCTGGTTCCGTATGCTTGAATGCAAAATACGTTGTAGTGCTTAATATATTATATGTACATGTACAAAGTTCAAGACCACTGTCTCTCTCTTTATGTGAATGTTCAAAACTGGAAACAGCTTTCGAAAAATGCATGGCAGTTTAGATAGACTTGTTTTGATCATAACGTCGCACATAAGTGCCCATGCGTGAGCTGTTTCCAGTTGCTGTACAGTTGCTCTGATGAGGACGAAAAAACAGCAGTTATGAACAAGCTGTTACTACAACGTGTTTAGCAATACAACATATCTTTAATTTATCGTTATTATATTATATTCAACATCGTTACTGTATGTAACTGAACATGCTTCTTCCGTCAGGCTTTCATTTATCCTCTAGCTTGTACATGAACTCATGTACATTAAAATCCGCATGTAGAAATGCCACATGATCCGTGCCAGGCAAAAATAGCACACTAGGTAATCTTCTTGATGATATTTTCATGACATGATTTCCAACACTTGTTTTTCGAAGCTACTCAGGATTGTCATCATGACTTCATTGGGTCTCACATCTCATTCAAGTGCGTCAAAGCTAAGAAAAGGTCTGTCAAATCGGATTTAATTATTGTCAGCTGAATTTATCAGCCACCAGGAAGGAAATTAATCAAAATGTCGTCAACTAGAGCACGTCATAGGTATGCAGTACTCAAAGTTTAAACTCGACCCCCATCTGAGAAGCTCATCATCAGTTACATCGTAGGTAAGGTGGTTTGGAGCAATATTTTAAAGGTATTTAGTCATGGTATCGTACGCATAGCTGAACCTAACTACGCAAGAATAGAGCACAAAAAGTTATTTTTCCTGTGTGGTTTACTACGGTTGGATTAATTTTTATCAATACCAGCAAAAGCGCCGAAATTTTGTCTAATTTAGCCCGTTAAACAAACGTATAATGAATAAGAAGTTTTCTCTTGATGTTGCTGATAGGTGTTGAAGCCATTTTGTAACTTCAAAGTGGATACCCATTTTCTAACGTCCCTAAATCAATTAGTAGGTCAGTGCATTTATGCCAGCCACAGTAGGCTTTTACAAAGGACACGTACTCGATACAATAATTTTACTGTAAATAAAATGTATGGTTTACTAAATTTGAGCAGTACAGTTACGATATTTGGCTCCGGCGGTTTTTTTCAGCTAACACTCCAAATCCTACACCACTTAGTTCCATGTGACCTAGCTTTATGTATGAACAGCAGAACACTGTTAAAAATTTGCATAGTCGGACGGCTAAGACAGAAGACAACGAATCATTAAGTAATGAACCTGTGGGTATGGCTTGTGACTAAGTGCATGTGTGTTCCTATTTGAACAAAACCCCAAGAAAGCAAGTCTGGAAGAGGCTCACCTTCAGTTGACATCGACAGTGTTGCTCACGTTGGAATATACACCAACCGCAGTTGAGCCCACTCTGTACGACTTATTTGGTTGATATCACAACATAACCTCTTCTCTTCGTAGGAAGGTACATTGGTTAATGTCATTATTTATAATTCATTTTAAAGTTTATATGCAAATCAGTCGTTTTGGAAACCAGACAGTTCCTTCTCAGATTATTCTGGAATCTCAATGGGTCTGACATCTCACTTAAGCTATTTAGAGCTCAAGGAAAAAGCGTCTCAAGTCATTTAATTGCTGTCATCTGGCTTAAAGACAAGCACCTTAATGACGCCCCCAGGAACGAGGGCTACATTGTAGTGCAAGACAATCCAAGTAGATAATCCTTCATCAACTGGAACTCAGTTCTGTGAAATCAGCTGCCCATACTCGATTTTTTAACTCAACCCACAAGAAGTCTTCCCATTACATCTTAGGTAAGACATTCCGGGTGAAAGCAAATATTTCTGTTATGTAGCGTACAGCAACTTAATTTGGAAACAATGCAATAACTGACAACAAAATCATGACAACAAAGTCATAAGTCATCACAGCAACTGGATAGTTATTTGTAAGTGACGTGGCATGTACCAGCGTCAGATAAATGTGATCTTGTCAGTGAAAACTGGAATCGTTTAGTCGATGGAAAATTGCCATCCTGGTTGGCATACAAGAAATGTGAATCTTTTATGCTATTCTATTATTCAGTATTGCGGCTATTGCTTTTAACTATCACTCCATATTCAAAATGAGCAGAAACTTTGCGCTGTCGAAAGGAAATGAGTAGTGCAATAAAGTGCATCAGATAGGGCCGCTATAGGTATCGAAACGACGGACGAAACACATGTGTACAACGTTACTGCTTTTCTCGTTGCTACTAAAGGCCTTTCTGGAAGTAAATACATTTGTACAATACAGGTAATTTTCGGGCAAACAAAATTGAACTGAGGAAGGCTGTCGAGATTCAGCGCCGTATGCCTGGATTAAGCTTATAATCTCAGCCTGCACTGCTTGCTTCTAAGCGGGCCGACTTTATGCATGAACAACACGGAACATGGTATGAAATTTGCATGATATATAAAAGACCTTAGGGCTCAAGACATCAATTAAAAGAGCGGTTTCTTAGAGTTCTGATGTGGTTTAAATTCCTCTTGGAGTAAAGTTACAAGGAAGAAAGGTTTTCGACAGTCACGCAAAGTCACACCCAGTTTTACCCTCTTGATTATGGGAGTATTTCATGTTCTCTTCTCTTGGTATCTGTGTCTCTGACAATTCATGCTAAAATATATAAAGTAAATCTTGTAAATTTTCTCACAAGAATGCTTTCGAATTTCTTTGTCTGAAAGCATATTTACACCATAAAAAAAGCATTTGGGGATCTCGAAGTATTGGTCGAGCTGTCTTTGCTACGACTGATATTGACGCTTCAAATGTTGCAGCTCTTAGAAAAAAAAAACCGTCATAGTTCTCTACGTCTTACGTTTCTCTTTAGGAAGAGTAACGACAAGTTTCCCAGGTGAGAAAAAGATACCATGTTAAATTGAATCTAAGTGAGAGTGGAGTTACATTATTTATTCCCATTATTTATTCCCATTATTTATTCCCATTATTTATTCCCATTATTTAGTCTATTTTAGTCGCGAACACAAAAAGCTATTAGATTATATCACTTAGCAAACGCTGCTTGCTTTCAGGATCATTGACAGAAGGGATGAGAATTAGCTGTAGTTGAATTGTGCTACTTTTTCAATCTCACCATTCCATTGAAAATATGAGAAGAAAGCTATCAAAAACAGAGACTGATCACTGTGTTGTTACAGCTAGGGCTCGTCATAAACGGAAACGACATTTGTTTCACTTTTGTATGTCGTATACATTTTCGACAAAATTTTAGTTTCGCATTATTGGGATTTAATAGATTTCTCTCCCGATAAGATTTTTAATTGTACAAAGCTTGGAAACCATGGTTTGATACGTTTTAAGAATTTCTATGTTTCCACTTTATTATTTTGTTATTATTTGATAAGACCTCTTGCCATGACTGGGAGTGTCAATATGGCAATGACAATGTCAGCATCAACTTGAAAACTGTTTAATTTACGTTGTTCAAGTTTTTAAACAAGGTCCACTTTCTTATTAGATCCTTATTGAAATCGACGCTTTCTTTATATTTGACTCTACATTCATTGTGTATTCTTTCCTACACTCTGCGGCAATCACCGTCTGGAAGTAAAGGAGTTATCATCTACGTCGAAGTTCCTCCATAATGAATCGTCAAAGTTTTGCTGTTTGTAAAGTCTTATAACAAATTGAAATGTGCTAAATACAAAGCAGAAAAGAAAAAAAAGTATAATAATTGTGATTGCTACAGAACTGAATTTGTAGATAGCGAACGTGAATATGTAGACAATAAGTTGTTCGCTTCGTTGTTCTGATCAGACAAGCAGCAAATGAGTTATACGGAGACGTGGGAAACTGACAATACGTAAAAACCTAAAACGTTATATTTGTCTATCCCTGTGAAGATAAAGGGAATCTTTGGATTCCACTTGATCGGGAAAGTGAAGTTACTTGCTAAATTGTGATTCCGGTGTAATGCCAGTCCGAATTTTCCCCATATTTCTCCTAGAAAATAAAGTATTGCCGAGTTGTTATGATAGAAGATACGTAAACGAACATTCTTTTATCGATGACTTTTGTTCGTTATTCCTTTCCTCGTTTTTGAAATCGTTGTTTAGCAGACGTTGCCTCTTAGTTCAACGTACAGTGTTTCAAACCCAGAAGAATTGAAGTGAATTGATTTTGAGATTCGAGGACTAATGTTTCTTGGATAAAGATTTCAGACGTAATCTTACTTGGCAAGTCAAGCCAGGCATCATCGTTAGGTTGTTTTTCTTATCGCTGCCCCTTTTTTTGTTGAATATTTATCCCTCAACTGAACAACAAAACGTAAGCAGCCTATCTTTTACTAATATTTCTTGAAAGCATAGTAACTCATATTTACTGAAAATTCGTTGAAAGCATATTGAAGGCTCGGTATTTTTGCGAGCCATCACAGATGTAATTTTGCTGATAATTTACCCAACAATATTAAAGTTACGCTTTTTTCTTAAATTTTGTACAAGAAAAACTTTACAACTGCAGAAAGAGAAGTTGGTTGCCTTTATACATTGTTAGCAAAGCTTGAAGGGGTAGGTACGGGAAAAACTTAACAACTGCAGAAAGAGAAGTTGGTTGCATTGTACATTGTTAGCAAAGCTTGAAGGGGTTGGCTGCTGTTTGTACTGGAATTGGAAAAGACGTTTTGAGCTCTAAGTAGTTTTTGAGATCACCAATCTTCTTTCTTGTTTGTGATTGGGATTCTTCACTCAGTGCAAATAACTTTTCTAATGATATATTGCCTTGCCTCGCGATGAAAAAATTATTTAATCAGAACCTTCAAAGTGCAAATGCACCAAAGAGGAACAACAATGGCCATGGTGGGGGGAAGAATGGAAGAAATTACGAAAAACAACCCGACAGCAGGCTAGATTTTTCGGTTAAGGCGTCCGTAGCGTTGGTCCTGAAAGGTACAGATTTTGAAAAGACTACATTTACTTATTAAAAGCCAGTAAGTTCAAGAAACAGTTATAACGACAAATCGAGCCTGATAAGGGAATAAGCAGGTAGCCAACAGACCTGGTAGAATTAAAAAAAATAATTAAGAAGTGAGAAGCTCAAGAACACGTTGTAAACGAGATTCTAGTGTCTGATCATTCAAATGAAAGCTATTGAGCTGTAATTTCGTGTAGTACATATGGGTTATTGACAAAGCGCGAGGGCAAGATGGCTGGATATTGATCGAGGCCAATATCTAGCCATCTTGATCGAACAAGCTTGGTCAATAAAAGATTGTGGCATAAAGAAAACCAATTTCTTGCGGGACACAGCGGGTAATCCCGAGCGGGCACGATAGTCCCATCTTGCCCACTTGGGCGGTAGCCAATAACAGCCCAGGATTTGGCTCATCCTTCCTTATAATAGTGTTAAGTATTGTACAATGCGTTTTTGATTTTAAAGTCTGTAAACGACAAAACTGTAGTTCGTGACCTTACAATGGAAGCCTAGTTTGTGACCATTCAGATGAAACTTAAACAGCTTCGTGTAATGCTGTTCCATAGCAGTATCGATTATTGTTCAAAACACGTGTCATACCATGCACTCAGAAAGAAACGCTATGCGTTCTGTTGAAAAAGAACATTCGTTCTACCTGGCACGCCATATAGTCCCTAGAGGATTGCCAAATGACGAAATCTAGCCGCCATTTTGAATTGCATAACAATGTTAACAGATGGCAAAAGCGTCAATTCAACGTTCTCACGTTTTTTTTTAAGCAAATTATAACACAAAACACATATCCCCCTAAGTAAAGGTTGAAATACAAATTCGAACAGATTAGATAATGGAAGCTGCTTTTACTCTTAAGCTTGGAAAAGAAGCCTCCAAGTAAGAAAAGTCATCAAAATAGTTTAGTTAATAGTTAGATAGGAAAGTGCTGTGTCTATTAACAAATAATGAAATAATAGTTGATTTAAGGTCATAACTTACTTCCATGATTTAATCTGGCTTTGCATGCTAGTTTCTGTTATAAAACGCAGAGTAATTGAGGTTCTTTGAAAGACAACTAAGCTTCCACTCAAAAACAGTAATCCTGGGCCAAACGTTATGAAAACCTTAGTTCTTGAATCGTACTTGTACATGTGTTCTTGAAAATGACAAATGGAAAGCGTTTTAAAACTTGTTCGAGTAAACAACATCACAACTTTTTAACCGTGCATAAATTATGTCGGTAATTTATTCATTTTAAACAAAGTAGAAATGGTACAACTGTACAAAACAGCTCCCATACGTGACATTGCACCAGAGAAGTGTATGAAGTGAAAGTTGATATATTCATCGAATCAACTTAGAATAACCCGCTTCAAGATGAATGCGGACTTAACACAGGCGATGTAAGCGAGAATGATGTGGTATCAAGGGTAGCCAATCAATTTAAAGTTGGGTGAGGAGTTAAAAATTTCACCGTCTTTTAGAATTACTACGATTTAGATATCAAATCTTGCACTGAAAATGCTTAAGACGCAACAGGATTTACTCTCCCTGCTATAGACATGTGACACAACGACAAGGCATAACGGTCTCATTAGTCAGTCCGCACATGCACCTAATGATCTCCTCTGTGTGTCCAGCCAGCAGGCAATGATAGGCCTAATTAATCACCTTTGTCAAGCCTTTAATTAGCTCTCGTGTTCTGAAAGCCACTCACATGATTTACCGCTAAAGGAAGAACTTTCCAGACCCGTGTAGGAGATTCCAGTTACAGCACTCCTCAATCGTATCTAGGTACGTACAGATGCACCTGCCGTGAGAGCAAACACTTGCTTGAAAATTCGTCAGA